AATTCTATAACTGTAGAATTTCAAGATAAGAAACTGGAATATAAACCAAAACTTTGAATAGCGTTCTTCTTTGACCCATCTGTGGTTTAGAAACATGAATGTCCAACTAAAAGGGACTTTTCTAAAATTTCATTCTGCTATTGATTTATAGTCAGAGAACATACTTTGTATGACTTTGGTTCCTTTTTTTTAAACTTTTAAAAAATTTTTATTTATTATTTTTATTTTATGTGTATGTGTATATTACCTGCATGTAGGTAAGTGCACCTGTGTTGTGCAATGCCCACGGAGGTCAGAAGAGGCTGTCGGATCCCCTGGGACTGGAGTTACAGAGAGTTGTTAGCTGCCATGCGGATGCTGGGATTCGAACCCAGGTCTTCTGCAAGAACAACCAGTGTTCTTAACCATTGAGCCATCTCTCCATCCCCAGAGTTTGGTTCTTATAAATGCAATGTGACTTGTTTTATGACATTGCACATCAAAAGAATGTATAGGCCACTGGTATTGAGTATAGTGTTTTTGTTGTGGGTGTTGCTCAACTATTCTATAACCATCTTGATTTGATGTTCCAGACAAATTAACACTTAATGAGAAAAAAAAATATTGAGGACCAATGAGATGGCTCAGTGGGTAAAGGCACTTGCTGGCAAGGCTGTTGATCTGAGTTCAGGCCCCAGGACCCACAGTTTGGAAGGCGAGAAGCAACTCCCACACCTCGTTCTCTGACCGCCACATGCATGCTGCAGCCAGCACATGCACACCCACCCTAACTAATGTAATAACAATTTAAAAAAGAAATATTGGAATAGCCAGACATAATTCCTGGTCCTTCTCCTTTCCAGTCTATCAGTTTTTGTGACACATTTTAAGGCACTTGGGTCATGTGCAAATATATTGATAAGATCATACTTTGATGAGATAACCGTTTTATCAGTATGAAATGTTCCTGTTGGTCTCTAGTGATATTTCTTGTATTAAAAGATAATTTAATACAGGCATTCCAGATCTCCAACCACCATTATTTGCTTGGCTTAGCTTTATCCTGCTTTGTATGTCTTTTCCTGTGTTATTATTTTCGGTCTAGTATACATTAAAGTATTTCTTCAATAGACAAAATATACTTTCAACCCTATTTTTGCCTATTGATTGGAGCTTTTAATTCAGTAAAATTTGCCTGCCATTCTCTTTTGTTTATTTATGGCCAATGCTCCCCTGGATCTCACGGTGTAGCCCAGGCTGGCCTCAGACTCATGACAATCTTTCTGCTTCAGCCTCCTAAACAAGATATTCAAGTTGTCCATGTGTATTGTGGTCCTCTGTGTAGAGGTGTAGGAACTTCTCTTCACCACATTTGACAATTCATTTGACAGCAAAAGATTAAAAAGAGAATCGAAGATTTGTTGTGAACATAAACTTCATCTCTAGCTTTTTTTTTGAGACAAGGTATCACTGTGTAGCCTGGGCTAGCCCTGAACTCAAAGAGATCCACCTGTCTCTGCCTCCCAAGTGCTGGGATTAAAGGTTTACACCATCCAGACTATAGCTTTTTTAAAAAATTACTTATTTAATAACCACATAATTAGAAGAAGCATTTCATTACAACAGCATTGACACATTCAATAACAATTTCCAGAGCTAAGATGAATCTCTTTCAAAATTGAGCTGTAAATTTTTAGGTTTACAATTGAATTAATACAGTTAGTCATACAATATTGTACTCAGTATAAACCCTGTAAGACATAAAATGAAATGAGGTTTTAACCTTTAAAGAAGATCTCCATTTCATTTTAAAATATGCTGTTTCCTACATTTTTAATGCCACTGATACTTAGATGTTTGCACATGTGTCTTTAATCTCTGTGTATGTGATTATTACTAGTCACAGTCGGTTTCACTTGGATCCTTAGTACCTGAGTATGAATATAAAGTCATCAGGTAGATTTCAATGGTAATGTTTATCACCTCTACTATTTAACATGAAGTAAATTTTTATGCTTCCTCCTCAAATATGTCTTTTTTATAATTTGTTGATTTTTTTGTGTGTATATCATACAGAGTATCCCACAAAAATAATCTTATTCATCTCTATACACACATCCCAGATGGCACCCTCCCATAGCCTCCCCCCAACCCCCCACTGGAGCCCATATACTCTGTCATCCCTGTTACAGTCCACTGTGTTGTCGGCACCCCCAGCCATTCCCCAGTGCTTGTCTGTCTGTTGAATCTAGTCAGTCTATCTAGAGTTCCTTGTTTTAGGAAGATCAGCTCTTCCTCATCTAGCAGCAATCAGTTGTCAATATTCCTTTAGATAAGATTGGGGTCTGCTGTTCATTTTCCCAGTTCTATGCTGGGTTACTGTCTGGGAGTCTCTTGGGCCACCCTGGCCAATAACTCAAAGGAAGGTATCCCTGTCTGGCATTGTTGCATGTTATGTAGCCTTTAGCTATACATATAGACTCTTAAAAGTTACATTGACCCCATTAATTTTTGGTTATACTTTCCTTTTGGGTGTTTAAGACCCTATAGTTGACCCAGATAAACCAATTTATTTTTATTCTTAAGGTCACTTGAGGATCTGTTCCTCAGGGGTCTCATGGACTTGGGAGAAGTCCCTGGCTCCTTTCTATGTGAAGATAAGTCAAAGGTCCTGCTCGACCTTTGCTGGCTTCACTTGGAAGTATGGAAAAAATGTTTCCTCTGTGTCGACCCTCCTCTTTGTAGACTGGACACCGGGTTCAGGTCCATCTGGTGGGGTCTCCACGGCCTCCTTGATCAGGAAGACAGGTCATTCACCATAGTTACAGGACATTTTGAGAGATGCTCATAGTCCCCTGGAATTTAGTCGACCTAGGAGGGCAAGGAGCAAAAACTGTCCTTTATGTCCCTCTGACCAAATTAGTATAGGCCTCAAAGTATGGCTATTAAACATCCAAGAAGGTTAGTTCCACCAGTCTGATACTTTTACTTACCATGTGCCATGTAGATGGAGCTTGGGCAAAGACCAAACGCTCTTAAATAAATGTCACCTAGACATATATTACATTTTTTGATCTGATTGTATGTATAATTTGTCAGTAGGTTGTTGTCCTAATATGGTTCCCTCTGGTTTTCTAAAACTGGCTAGGCATTATTTATCTAACACATTGTCTAACCCTTCCACCATGGTTTCCTCATTTAAGGTGCCCCTGTTTTTTCCATTCCTCCCTTAATAATACCCTTCTCCTATGGTCCCACTTCTCTTGAGCTCCTTCTTTCCCTTTATCCCCTAGGTTCCTTGTATAACCGTCCCTCCCCACTCTCCTTAAAATAATCCCATTTTTATCCATATCTCCCTTGTTAACAGCTGTTTTCTACTGTTCTTCTTTCATATTCTCTCTTTTCCTTTACCTCCCTGGTTCCTTTTCATTATCCTGGTTCCTGTTGTTACGTCTAGATACATGCTCACTTATAAGAATTTGGTGCTATAGCTTTTTTTTTTTTTTTTTTTTTTGGGTCTCTTGGACCAAAGGTCTTCCCAGCTGGCCTGGAACTCTCTATGCAGCCAGGCAGGCTGGCCTCAAACTCACAGAACTCCGCCTGCCTCTGCTTCCCAAGTGCTGGGATTAAAGGCATGTGTAACAACACCCAACCAAGCCTATTGCTTTTAATCAGGATGCCATTTAGGAATGTAGCAAATGTTAATGCAGAATTCCACTTTTACTTGATAGTTAATGGAAATTAACACAATCCTTGGTAAGAGGCATACACATGGAAAGGACTTGGACTGAGTCGTAATATTAGTGTTACTATTTTATTAGACTGTGGTAGTCCTTATTCATTCACTCATAAAATAAATATTTATTGAATGCTTACTCTGTGGTTGGTATTGGGGATTCACTCATGAACAGAACACAAACATTTCTGCCCTAAAGTAGTTCATATTCAACCCGGGGAGGCAAGAGTAGGCACATAAACAAATCACTATAACTTGTAGTAAGCACTTTAAAGAATGTGGAGGTATGAGTGCTTAAGAGATTCCAGCTGATGCCATTGTTTTCTTTAGTGCTAGGTCAGCTGCAATTTGAAAAATGAGCAGGGGTTTCAAAGACACAAAAAGACAAACAGCATTCTGGACATGCTAAAAGCGCCCTGTGGTGGAAAATGAGGTGGGAGGAAGTTGGAGTCAAGGTGTTAGAAGCACACACAGTCGGAGGAGTACTTACAACCAAGCCACTCAGGGGCCTAACCAGGCTTTACACGAAGCATTCCGGACCTTTATCACATGGCCAATGGGAGCCACAGGAAGATGTAAGAAAACGTGACAAGGCTAGATTTGTATTTTTAACCACTAGTGGCAGCTGGATAGTGGGACAAAGATGATAAGCAAGACTAGTTACAGAAAAGTACCGAAGGATAATGGAAGCTTGGCCCAGAATAATGGTGGGTGAGGTTTCAAAACAGTGAATGAATTTGGGACGCATTTTGGAAGTAGGGTCCACAGAATCCAGCGATTAACTGAAAAAGAAACTGAATCACACCCCTTTCCCAGCAGAAGCTCAACTGATTAGGTATTGCGCTGATGCCTCACTATCCTTTGATAATGGCCTAAAGGCCCCGTAATACTCAGGGCCTCACAATCCCCAGGACACAAGAAAGGCCCAGGCGTGCAGGTCACAAGCAGTGGCGTGGAACCGCCAGGTTTCCTGGGAAACGCCATTGTCATGCTCCAGAGGCGGAAATGTGAAAGAGGAGCTTCGGGCCAGGCTATGGTGGATACCAGGGTTCTCGCACGTGGCGAGAGGGGCGTGAGGGAGGAGCTATGATTGGCTGGCCCGGGGCTCCGCGCTGCTCCTGATTTGGCTAGGCCGAGGCCGGGGGGCTGAGGTTTCGAAGCGCGTAGGGTTCTGGGTAGCAAAGGCCTTGGAAGGGTCTTAACCGAAAGGGGGTAGAGGGAGGCCGCCAACGAACGGCTGAGCTCATAATCCCAGCCTCCAGCAGCCCGGGCCACCCCCTCCCCCATGGGCAGGGCCAGGCCTGAGCTGCCGCCGCGCCAACCGCCGCGGCCTACTCCGCCGCGCCCGTTGCGCCCCGCTCGGCCGGCGCTGCCCGTCGAGGCCACCACCTTCCCAGCCGCGGCCTCCGAGCGGCCCCTGTCGCCGGCGGCCCAGGCCATAGCCGCCATCGCCGCGGTGGCCTCGTCGTGCGGGGAGGCCGCGGTGGCGGGAGCACAGACAGGGGCGCGGCGCCTGCTGCAGGTGAAGCCGGAGCAGGTGCTGGTGCTGCCACCCGGGCCTCTGTTACCGCAGGCCGCTGAGGAGGATGCCGCGGCTGCGTCGTCTGCGCAAGCGCTCCTGCTGCAGCTGAGGCCCGAGCTGTTGCTATTGCCTCCTGCGGCCGGCGGCTGTGCCTGCGGGCCCGAGCTGCGCCCTATGCATCCGGGGCCACTGCACATCAAGGTGGAGAAGCAGGAGCTGGCGGCCGGCCTGGACCTGTCGGTGGGACCTCGGAGGGGCGTAGATGCCAGCCCGAGGCCCTCCAGTGCCGCCAAGGTGGATGGCGCCGGGAAGGCCTTCGATGGCCGCCGAGGAGACGAGAAGGCCAAAGTGGAGGCCGAAGAGGTGATGAGGGGTGTGCTGAAGGGCGGGGAAGGCCAGAGCCTGGCCATCAGAGAAGTCGTCATCAAGACGGAGAAGCCGGACCCATTCCATGAGGACTGCAGGCTGGGCGCGGAGGCTGCGTCCAACGGCCTGCTCCATGGCAGCAAGGAGGCCATCCTGGGCCAGCCGCCCATCACTTTGGGGGCACACCAGCAAGACCTCAGGTTCCCTTTGACTCTGCACACCGTCCCTCTTGGGGCCCGGATCCAGTTCCAAGGGCCGCCGCCTTCGGAGCCGATCCGGCTGTCGAAGGTCCCCCTGACACCGGTGCCCATTAAGATGCAGTCCTTACTGGAGCCTTCTGTAAAAATCGAAACCAAAGATGTCCCGCTCACGGTGCTTCCCTCAGACGCAGGTACTCAATGGCAGGAGAGTCTGTGATGCCATAGCAGATGGATCAGTAGTTGAAAAGCAGAAACTAGGAAAAATCTAGAATCATGGTACTGATTCCTAGTCAACACGGGAATCACTTATGGTTGGTTTGTTTGTATACCAGTAAAATACTTGTTCAAGGTTTCCATACACTTTTAAAAATCGGTTTTAAAGACTTAGTAAACATAGGTAACTTTATGCACTCAATAGAAAGAGGTAACAAGAACCCTTCAGTTTATCTGTAACAAGTAGTCAACATTTAAAGCATCCAGTTACAGTAGCTTTGAAGCTTTATTATGTATCAAGAAACAGAACAAAATTGACATTTCCTGTAAAGTGATTATAGTTGTTTATATTGATTGTAGAGATTAGTTTTAGAAATGAGTAAAATGTTTTCGAGAAGAAACATGATTTAAATGTAACACTTCAGCATTCTAAAGGCTAAGGGTTCTTAGAAATAGTGAAAATAAAAGTACTGTATATTAAGTGAATTGTTTTTTTAAGAAGTCTATGTAAAAATAATAGCAACTACAAACATATTTCTTTCCAGTATTTCCAAATATTAATTAGCAAATTGTTAACATTCACACAGAGCACCATGCCAGTGAATGGCTTGGGAAGTCCTATCATCCTTCACATTTTCATGGCCTTTTATGTTTATTGGTTTTTAAATTTTCATTACTGATTCTACCCACCCTACCCCTTTGCTTTTTGCTTTTTTACAATTTTAAGACTTGTTCTGAATGAGTGAGTGTTGAGTATGTGCTTGTGTGCCACCACACCTGGCTCATGGGGTGTTGGGGGTTGAACTCAAAACTTCATAGATATTAGACAAGCATTCTACCAGCTGAGCTACATTTCCGGCCAGCATTATTTTAAGCATCCTTTACATGTTTAAAACATTTAATATACCCTAAAATGGAAAGAAAAGTTTATAAATAGGATTTTTATGAACTTTATAGGATACACAGTGACTTCCTAAATTATTATAAAGTGGTTTTTTTTTTTTGGTCTTTTTTTCCTGTTTTTCTTATTTTTCTCTCAAGACATGAGACTAGTTTTGATAATGCACTTTGGCAGGAATTTCAGCTTCATAGTGAAGAACAACTAATGTATTAGTATAAATAATAATGCTTCTGTAAATGGCTTCCTTTAAACAGTAACCCATAACTCCTGCATAGTACTAGGAGTGCTAGTTATGAACAGATTGTACTTCTTGCCCTCTAATAATAGACTAATTTTAGTGGAAAACAAACTTGATTATTAGAGGTAGTAATGAAGGAAGCTCAAAGAAATAATTAGCAATTTATTGTGTTTTCAACGTTTCTGCACAATGTCTTCAACAATCTTTAGGAGTCATTCTAAGCCACAGTTTAGAATGCTGAGATCAGGGACTGTAAGGAATTCTGCAATATTGGCAGTACTCTGGCTATGTTGTAGTGTCAATTTTCAGATATTTAAATGTAAGCATAGATAAAGGTGCACTTCACTTTAAAATTCTGTTTCACATGTTTAACTTAGTCTCTTAATTTTTGTCATATAGGAATACCTGACACTCCCTTCAGTAAGGACAGAAATGGTCATGTGAAGCGACCCATGAATGCATTTATGGTTTGGGCAAGAATCCACCGACCGGCACTAGCCAAAGCTAACCCAGCCGCCAACAATGCAGAAATCAGTGTCCAGCTTGGGTTAGAGTGGAACAAACTCAGTGAAGAACAAAAGAAACCCTATTATGATGAAGCACAGAAGATTAAAGAAAAACACAGAGAGGAATTTCCTGGTAATCACATGAAATAAACAAAGGCTCTTTCCAATTTCTTTTAAATTTGTTTAGGTAAAAATTAAGTGAGGTTGAGATCTCCTAATCTGATATGTGTAAGAAAGAAAATAATGGCTAACGTAATAATAATAATTGAACTAACACTGAGCATAAATTTCCATGGCTGGAGAGACGGCTTAGTGGTTAAGAGCACTGACTACTCTTGCAGAGGACCTGGGTTCAATTCCCAGCACCCATATGGTGTCTACGAACCGTCTTTAACTCCAGTTCCGGGGGAATTCGAAGCCCTCTTCTAACCTCCACGGCATTGCATATGACATGGGTGCACTCACATATGTGCAGGCAATATACTCATACACATAAAAATAATAAATAAAATATTTTATAAAAACAAAGTTGTGATATATCTGATCACATAAAGCAGCTATTGCAAATCAGAGGATATACAGTTCTACTGAAGTTTTGATTAAATATATATAGGTACATACATACCTGTAGACATAAAGCTGACAGTAAATCTTCATAGCTCTAATGTATATTTTGCAAATATACTGGATATAATAAATAATCATGGCAACAGGCAAAACACCAGATCATACTTTAAAGAAAATTAGAATTCAGGAATGAATACTATGCTTTAATTTTTAAATTTCTATTTTTTTATTTTATTTTATGTGTATGGGTATTATTCCTGCATGTATGTAATTGCACCCATGTCATGCAGTGCCTGTGCAGGACAGAAGAAGAGAGTGTTGGATCCCCTGGAACTGGAGTTGTGGATAGTTTTTAGCCACCATGTGGGTGCTGGGAATCGAACCTGGGTCTTCTGCAAGAGCAAGCAGTGCTCTTAACCTCTGAGCCATCTCTTCAGCCCTACCATGCTTTATTTTAATGTTAAATGGTTATGAGAACATAGTCCTGCCTTTTGACTGCTGGATTTATTCCTATCATGATATGGTTTGAAGTGAGTCTGATTCTTCCTCAGCAAGAAAAGACATTGCGATAAGGCTTGGGGAATAGGCATACTTTGTGACCAGAATAACTACATGATGGGAAATTATTTTTTTCTCTGAAATATGAACAGAGAGATTTTAGAAGGTGAGATTCAGAGATATCAACTGGGTGGAACCAGTGATTCTCTTGGCTCTATAGAGTCGTGCCACTCTTCTGACTTTGGAAGGAAACTGAGTTGTTCCTAGTTTTAGAGATTGCCAAGTCTGGGAGTGACTTTTCCTGAGGAAGTGTAACAGATAGTGACTGCTTATTAGTAACAATTACACTGTAAAACACTGACAGTGGTATCTTACAGAATGTGAGGAAACAGGAGGAGGTAAATAATGTCTTACTGGAGTACTGTTTTTTGGTTTTTTTTTTGGTTTTTTTCCAGTAGAGAAAAGGCTTTTGGATTCAAACTCTATGATTTTCGTGTAGATTCTATGACAATTCAATCTAACTTTAAGGCATTTGACCTTTCAATGATGGGTTATAAAATTAACTAGTTTAGAAGCTATATAGATGTGTGTGTATGTTAAAATGCACAGTGGAAGAGTCATTCACAGAAATAACAGAGAGCTGGAAAATATACTTTAGACAACCTAGTTTTTGTTTTGTTTCTTTTTTTAATATTTTATTATTTTTATTTTGTGAGTATGAGTGTATTGCCTACATGTGGGTAAGTGCACCTGTGTTGTGCAGTGCCTGTAGAGGACAGAAGAGGTTGTCGGATCCCCTGGAACTGGAGTTAGAGACAGTTGTTAGCTGCCATGTGGGTGCTGGGATTCGAACCCAGGTCTTCTGCAAGAACAGTGTTCTTAACCACTGAGCCATCTCCCCAGCCCCTAGACAACCTAGTTTTAAGAACATTGAAGTGTTCTATAGTTTTAATATGAAAAGGCTAAATAGAGTCTATATATTTGCATTAAAAAGTCTCTATCTTTTTCTATAGGTTGGGTTTATCAGCCTCGTCCAGGGAAACGAAAACGCTTCCCTCTAACTGTTTCCAATGTATTTTCTGGTACCACACAGAATATTATTTCTACAAATCCTACAACAATTTATCCTTATCGCTCACCTACCTACTCTGTGGTAATTCCTGGCCTTCAAAACACCATCACTCATCCAGTTGGTGAGTTGATTTTGTTGTAGATTATTTTATTTTTTATTTTATGTGTATGAGTGTATTGCCTGCAGGTGTGTAAGTGCACCTGTGTCGTGCAGTGCCTGTGGAAGACAGAAGAGACCACTGGAGCCCCCGGAACTGGAGTTATGGACGGTCGGTTAGCCACCATGTGGATGCTGGGATTTGAACCCAGGTCTTCTGCAAGAACATCCAGTGCTCTTAACCACTGAGCCATCTCTCCAGCCCCTGTAGATTATTTTATAAATAGCTATATCAAAGTTTTACCTAAGTTGAAATGTTGTTAAACTTAGAATTCAGAACAATAATATTAATTAATAATATTACTATTAATAATACTAATTGTTCTTTTATTTTAGAACAATTAATATTAATCAGAAAGAATTAAAACATTAATGGGAGTAGCAGTTTCAGGAAACATCAGAGCACTTGGCTTGCCAAGGTAGCAGATCCATGTGTAAAAATCAGACCTTTTAAGCACATCAGGATTCGCCCCTAGGTTAGTCAGATAATGAAGGAAGTGGCTGAGGTAATTTGATAGGACATAGGAGAGGTTTTGATTTTCGGTGTAAGAGAATGCTTTGCTAATGGCGTATGATACGTTCTTTCATGGAACTTATAGCGAGGATACTGATCTGTTATAACCATATAGCATATAAATATTTATCTGTAATTCTGTTTGATTCCTTATGACAGTTCTGTATGTTGATGATAAGAACCCTAAATTGAAAAATCTCACATCTTAAGGATTACTTGTTAGAAGGCTATCCATCATTGATTTGCTCCTCCAGAACCTTTTTAAAAAATTTTATTTTTTAATTGTGGTTTTCATATGATATAGTTTGATGGTATTTAGATCCCTTCCCCTATCTACACCTCTCCCCACTGTTCTCCAACCACCTCTTAAGGAGAGTGCTATCTTATACTATTTGCTGTCACTTGTCTTAAAGCTGTTCTTCCTGGTTTTATCTGCTTGGATTCTCCTGATAATAAAGCACGCTCCCATGAGGAGAGGCAGGGAGGGAGGAAGGGAGGGAAGGAAGGAGGAAGGGAGCTTGGAAATGGACTGATTAGAATATTATGCATTTTCAGTGTCTTTTAAAATGTGTCATTTTAGCAACTGTAACTAACAAAGCTACATTGATGTTACCTCGCTTCAAGTGAAAGATGTAGAAAGTTCATCTGTAGTCTTGTTTTCCGTAATAAAGCCAGGTACCCAGTGTTTCCTTTAATGCTGCATTTCAAATCTGACTTAATTTTACCTTTATTTTTGTACTATGTTGTTTATCATTTCTGTTGTTTTAACACACATTTCTTCTTTTTATCCCCCTTTTCAAGACTTGACTTTCATCTGTTTCTATCCACTTTTAAATGCTGTATGTTTTCTCAGAAACAGATTCATTGGTGTTCTTATTTGAAGCAGTTGAGATTTTATACAATATATTATTTTTTTGCCATTCTGAGCAGTACGTGGGGAGGAAGGAGCCTGTAAAGTTTTTTTCTAATATTGGTGGGATTTTTACATCATGGTTTTGTATTTAAGTGTGGTAGGTAGAATTATAGGAAGCATCTCAGAAGCATACACAGCAGTAAACGAAGACACGAAAATGATTCTTTGTTGATGGGCTTGAAATTTTTTGTTTAAAAACTATTTCTAATGAGAACTAGAGACAATAAAGATTCATTTCCTAGATCTCAAATGGTAAACAGAAAGCATTTTTTAAACATAATTGATGAAGTCTTCTCAGATAAATATCTCAGTAATGGTGAGGAGATTTATTTGCTGTTCATGTTAGTCATAGAACTCTGAAATATTTTCAGTTGGTTCTCATGATCTTGGTCTTATATTACTTAAAAGAGATAGAATAACTAGCAAATTTGGAAATTTCACTGTGTATTTCATGTTCTAAATCTTCCATAAAATTGTTAAGTGATAATAGATTATAGCATAAGTAAGTCCCTTAAAGAATTACAGCTTTAATCTTTGCAGGTGCTGATTTTATACCCTCCTTTTTGATTTTGTTTCAATTCTATGTTCTAAGTATAAAGTCATGATAACTTCATTTTTCAAGCATATATTTTATTCCCATGGAAGAAAAATGTCACCATAGCAAGGTATGATTTTCTCATATCAAAATAATTTATTCTTTTTTTCTGGTAAGTTTTGTGCATTTATGATACTGTATAGATTTGAACAACTTTTTGGGTGCAGAAAGTATACTCACTAAGCTACAGTGTTCAAGGTCACCATTTCCAATACTTAGAAGTTTCTCTCATTTCATTTCTGTTACAGAATATCCTGACAAAAAGCAGGGGGTTTATTTTGGCTCACTGTTGTAGGTCCCAGTCTACCGCTGGAAGTTACGGGAGCAGGATCCTAACACAGCAAGTCACATTCCATCCACAGTCAAGAGCAGAGACAAATGAATACACGCATGCTGCTTGCTTGTGCTCAGCTAGATTTCTCCACTCTTAGACAGTTCAGGACGCTCTGCCTAGGGAATGCACCCGCAGTGGGCTGGTCTTCCCACATCAATTAAGACTGTCTCCTACAGACATGCCCACAGGCCAACTCAGTGTAAACAGTCCCTCAATTGAGACTCTTCCCAGGTGATTTGAGGTTGTAGCAAGTTGAGAAGTAAAACTTACCATTTACAGAAGTCTTGATTACTTACCAAAAATGTTCTGGCAGAAGGCATTTGTATCTACTTTAATATTTTATGCTTTACCTTTGAGTTTCTCTATAATACTTAGGTTTGCGCTATCTGAAATCTATTTTATTTTGCCAATTTGTAAACTTACCATTATATTGTAGTTGATCTAATATTCTTAACTGACTGCTATGAAAATTTGTTAGGGTTCAGAAATCTTAAGATCGTCAGTAGGGAATTTATTGAGTCTCTGCTGTCTTTTCACTTACCTTATAACTATAATATGTAATATTTCAGAATCATATACAACAGTAAACAAAGACACAATAATGATTCTTTATTGACTGGCTTTATATTTTATGTTTAAAACCTTTATTTCTGATGAGAACTAGAGACAATAAAGATTCATTTTAATATTATCTACATAAGATATAATGACTAAACAGTTACAACACTGTTCTTCTCTGCTGAAGCATTTAGCAGGTCAGGTAGTATTGCCTTGATGGTCACTTGGCTTTGGTTCCTTTAATTTTTCACTCCAGCTGCCTATTTTATGTTACTTTTTATTTATGTGTATGTGCCTTTTGGTGGTCTGCACATGTGCATATAGTTGCCTATAGAGGCCAGAAGAGGGCATCTAGCATCACAGGTGGTTAAAGCTGTCTGACATGAGTGCTGGGAACTGAACTCAATCCTCTGCAAGAGCAGTACATACTCTAAAGCACTGAGCCATCTTGCCAGCTGCAGTTCCCTTAGTTTTTATTTGCATCTGATTTAAAACACTTTGAATCAATTTGTCTTTTACATTTGGACAAGGTTTTGATAGGTTACCCTTGATTTGACCAGTTTAAACAACTCTATAATTAAGAGTATATTTTTTCTTTGTTTTCAGCATTAGCTTGTAAAATTACCATTTTTCTATTATCTTTTCATTTTAGCTTTCCTTATCAACTTTCCTCCTTTAGCCAATATTTATGTTGCAGAAAAAGTTAGTAACTTCATTATCAGTTAGGGATCTTGAAAACTTATTACTAAACATTTTTACACAGTGAATTCATGGATTTTTCTAGTAATCTTCTGTATTACTTGACTCTCAGTCAAGCTTATTTTTCCTGTGTGTTCTACAAAGTCTGCCTGTTCTAATAAGCAACCATTTGCCCTGTACCATATTTTCCCAGAACACTTTTATCCCACTGAATTATTAGATATACTTGAAAACTGAAAGTATACTTCAGTATTTTCTGTTTCGATGAATTTTTGTATCTCAAGTGCCATATTTGCATGCCTCCCTACCTGACCCCTCCACTGCCCAATATTTATCAGGTATCTATGATGGGTCAAAGTCTGCTAGGGACAAATATAAATATGTTTTATAGATTTTGGCGGCAAAGATTTTGTAAGGTAGCTGTAAAGAACATAGATACAAATAAAATGAAATTTATAATTTTTAAATCAAGTCTATGGTAGCTCTCTTGTCTGGCATTCTTCTGTCCAGCGATGGCTCACTCTGACTCCCGTCTAGCATTGTACTCTGAGCTCTTCTGTGTCTAGACTCTGAAAATGCTTCTGGTCTCATAGTGTAGTATTTCCCTTAGGTATATTTTATCCAGTGTCTTTGATGCCAGTTATACCAGTACCCTCACTTTATATTAATACTCAAATTCAGTTACAGGTATAGGAACTTTCATGTAAAATATATTTGTTTTACCTGACTTTTCAATGTTTACTTGGCAGATATATGATTTTTTTTATTATGAGTTCTCTACATTTATTTGTCAGGCCTGAAATTGGCTTTGTTGAGCATATCTTAACTGACACCTTTCAACCTTCATAATTCATACATTTTCTCTTTGTTATTTGTGAAATGCTTACCACTATTTGATGTTTGTGTTTGTGTGCCATTTTAGCTCATCCACTTCTTCACTTCTTGTTTAAATAAAAAAGAGGAAACTTCATGATTCCAATAGTCTTCTAATCCAAAAAGTAAGCTGGTGTACTCGTTTGAGCTTTAAGATCTATTCCAGGAAAATGTTATGTCCATTAGAGGCTCAGATCGGGTGAAAAAAATCCTTGAAAAGTGATGTTGTTCTAGGCAGGACACAACCATTGCAATCTTGAACTCACAGTGACTGTGGCATGAGTACACAGTCAGGCATGGCTAGGGCAGTTTTGCCCCTGCAAAACTGTTGGCTATTGATGGGTTCAGTGTATTCACTGGTGAACCCACCAGGCGGGCTCTAAAGGAGCCACACATGGTCCCACACAGCCCTGGTTGAACTCAGTGTGTCACAGAACAAAACAGACATGAATATGGGCAAGGGATTTGTAAGGAAAGGGTGACAGGGGTGAAGGGAGCTAAGAAAGGTAGGACATGATGGTAATCAGAATGCAATACATATGTGTATGGCATTTCCAAAGAATAAATTTAACCTATTAACAAGAAAAGAAAGGTAATATGGTCTGTCACTGTAAGGTTTGTTTTGGCGAAGGGTCTTTTTGAGACGGGCTCTCTGTAGTCCCAGCTGGCCTGGAACTCACTATGTAGACCAGGCTCACAAAGATCTGCCTGCCTCTACCTGAGTGCTGGGATTAAAGGTGTGTGCCACCATGTGCAGCCACTGTAAATTTTCTTAAGGAGGCAGGAAAGGAGACTCACCTGGTTCAGCACTGTCTTCCTGGGCTCCTTCTTACCTGTTTCTTTCCTCAAAATGCTGCTTTTCATTTTTGTTTTATGTACATTTTTATTTTTGGCACAGAGCAGCTAGTGCTCTTAAACACTGACCCATCTCTCCAGCTCTCCAGAACTCTGCCTTTCTTAGCAGTGAACTAAATATTCTTTCCAGCTCTCCACCTCTCTTCCCTCTTTTCTATCTCCCCAGCCCCACATGTAGGTTCTCCTTATTTACTCTACAAAACTCCTTTCTGCAGATAAAAACAGGTCTGCCCTCAGTTTCTGCTGTTGCTGGCTGCTTCGCTGTTCATCCCAGCTATGCAACAAAAGCTGGTAGCCTTGCAGTCATTCCACTGCTTCTTTTTGAGCTGAGTGATAGGAGATATACAGGGATTGTTTTAAACTACAGTTCTTTATTTTTATACTTGAATTGTTATTATTTTATTTAAATTTTTTCTTTGTCCTTATGCATCTATAATTCTGGATGCTTTAACAAGCTCTGACATTTAATGGTTGAAACAGAAAGCTTATATTTTACACACAGAATGGATGTTTCTAGTTGGTAATTTTCCATTTCCAAAGAGAGTGGACTAATGCTTTACCCTGTACCTCTGACATGGTTAACATGTGGTATCCTTGGGCACTGTATTTGCGTGTTTGAACCTGAGCAAGGTGAAAAATACGTGGAGGATCAATGTGAGTGCATTCATTATGCCAAACAAGTGGCAGATGTTGCTTATGTTCTCTTGGGTAGCCCTTAGCCATACACCAATCCTAAGTGCAAGAGAGCCTGGGAAATTGTAATCTTGCTGTGTTCTAGAAGAGAAACCAAATCACTGAGTGCTTTCTGATTGGTTGTTTTCTACTACATGCTATCCCCCAATTGATTGATTAGAACTCTGCCTTTTCCCCAAGTAGTCCCCATCCCTGACTTATTAGAGGCAAGTAGATGTTGAACAATTTAACCTCCTGCTTATCAGCTTAAATTTTGACATTTAAAGATACTATATTTCTGTATAATTCTATATAACAAAATAGAGTGCCTGCCACATGTTAGGTGCTTAATGAATTTTTAAATTTTTAAAAAAAATTTACTATTTTTATTTTATGTGTACGCGTGTATTGCCTGCATGTAGGTAAGCGCACATGTGTCATACATTGCCCGCAGAGGTCAGAAGAGGCTGTTGGATCCCCTGGGACTGGAGTTACAGACAGTTGTTAGCTGCCATGTGGGTGCTGGGATGTGAACCCAGGTCTCCCGCAAGAACAACCAGTGTTCTTAACCACTGAGCCATCTCTCCAGCCCCTTAATGAATATTTTTTAAGTTAAATGAATGTATAATTATCACCCCAGACCTCATCTCCACCTATTTTTGTAGGACTATGTTTGGTAGAAAGAGTCTTTGGTAAAAGATATGTCCCCTTTTCAGTGACTGAACCTAGATCTGTGGTTTTGTATAGTCCTTGTAACTTATTTTTTTGAAAACTAAGAGCTTATACTGGGTACAGGAAAAAGAATTTGACATCACAGATAGATATCCAGGGTGAATGCCTTAAGTATGATGATAATTCAAGTAATAAAAGCTTGAGAGGTTTTACAAGTTAGTATGGAACCTGGCCTTGGTGCTGGTTTCAAGGCATGCTAGATCTTACACCACATTAGTGTAGAAATACTGTTGGTTATTGGATGAATTGTTCATTTTTCATTTATTAGGGCCTTCCTTAAAGATTTATTTATATGTGAGTATATGTCTGTGTGAGTGTGCATGTGTATGTGAAAGTGTATGTATGCCTGTATGGGCACACAGAAGCCAGAAGAGGGCATTGAATCCCTTGAAGCTGGAATCACAGGCATTTGTAGGATACCCGGCTTGGTAGGCAGGTGCTGGGATCTGAACTTGGTCCTCAAGATTGTGCAGCAAATGCTCTTGACTGCTGAGCCATCTCTTCAGCACGTCTTAACTATCCTTCATTAGTCAGGTTCAGGGCTAGATTTTGGGACTACAAATGTCAATAAAAGAGCTTGGCATGGTGGCACATGTCCATAATTCTAGGCCCAGGAGGCTGAGGCAGGAGGGTTGAAAGTTTGAGGCCAGTATGGGCTATGTAACAGGACTCTGTCTCTGAAAATAAATCTGTATGAGTGAGACAGTTTCCACTCTCAGGTTCCCAGCTTGGTGATTGTGCTAGGAGTGGCAGACATGCAAATAATTACAAAGGTTTTCAATTTTGTATTAAGAGATAAATTTACAAGCCTTGGAGGGAAGGTGGAAGGAAAATGCCTTGTGCTTGATAAATCAGGAAAGGCTTAACTAGGTGCTGTGCCTCACGAATGGCAGATCCATGTGATCTCGTGATCTGAGAACTGGGACAGCTACCTTTACATCCTACTCCTGTACTTTATTGGGTCAGGCCGTCTTGAAACAGATGGGTGTGGCCCTTCAGTCCTGCTTTCAGATTTATAGGGGCATTTCCCACCTCTCCTGAGAGAAGGAAGGAGGAGGGAAGTTTTCTCTGGATAGGGCTGAGAGGAGATCTCCATTTCTTTTGGCCTCTTACAGAAACAGTTCTAACTGTAGCATTTGTGCCTGGACTGTCTTCATTAATGTACACTGGCTATAACTATTGCACTGACTCTGTCTGTGTTTTATCAAGAAAGCTTAGTTAAATTTAGTCTTATTTGGACAGACCACCTCTCAACTAGCAGTGCTGCCTTCTCTAGGAACAGGAGGATAAAGCACACACCTGCTTGACTTCACATCTGCTGTAGCCATGGCGTCCTGCTGTAGTACTATTCTCTCCATGTCTGTTACAAATGGTTGGCCTGTGATAAATCCTGTTCTCCGAAATTTCCTGCTGTATTCACTTTGATTAAAGAAGAGGGAAACAATTTTCTTGATTATTTACATTTTTTCAACTAAAAAGTGTCATTTATAATTTTTAATGTAGGAAAATGAAAGGAAAATCACCCTAGTGCTACTTGGAAATCCATATTAATGTGAATTAATAAATGCATTTATTTTAGGTTGATACAAATTCACATACTATGAAAGGAACATCTAGTTTTTCCTGTTTCCCAACTGTCTTTCCCTCTTTGTAGGTGATCACTCTTTAATAATAGTATCATCTGTTTATATTATTTGCTAGAAAATTTTATATATGTATACCAAAATTTGTATATTTTCTTTTAATTTAGGAATATTAATTTTATTTATCCAAAATAAATTTGTTGAGGACTTGCTATTCTGTGCCAAACAGAAGCTGGGGAATCCAGTGTGAACAAAACAGAAAAGGTCTGTCTTCTCATGGTACTTAGAGGCCAGTTGGGAAAGAGCAGAAAAAAAATCTGAATGCACTGGAAATGACAGTGACTTCAGTTTATTTAGACCACTACAAAGGAAAGACTCGTTTGGTTGGTTAAGGTGGTGGTTGAACACTCCTTGAACAGTTGGAAGTTTAAGGTATTGTAGAAACTCGACAGTGATCCAACTAATGGCTAACCTCTGTTGTTTTTATTTCTGAAGGTGAAGCCGCATCTGCCATCCAGCTGCCCACGCCTGCAGTCCAGCGCCTAAGCCCCATCACACTTTTCCAGCCCAGCGTCTCCAGTACTGGCCCAGTGGCTGTCCCACCTCCAAGTCTGACACCCCACCCAGCACTCCTACCCCAAGGCTTTCCTGGGCCTTCCCAAACTGACATTCATAGGCTCCCTTCCAGAGCCAGTGGCTCTTTGAAGAGACCCACTCCGGTGTCTCTGGAGAGCACCAGCAGGATTCCAGCTCGCGCAAGTACTGCCCATGCCAGATTTACAGCCTCGCCTGTCCAGCCACCCAAGGAGTGTTCCAGCGTTTCCACTTGTCCCCGAAGCACACCACTTCCTCCTGCTACTCCCATTCCACACTCACATGTCTACCAGCCCCCGCCCCTTGGCCCTCCTGTCACACTGTTTGGAACACCACCTCGATTCTCATTTCATCACCCTTACTTCCTCCCTGGACCTCACTACTTCCCATCAAGGTAAATGAACAGTTTTTTGTTGTTTTGTTTTTTAACCTCTTACCTAAAAGTATAGCTAATGAATATTTATTTTTGAAGACATCTCTTTTTCACTGAAGAAGAGTCTTCCTCAACTGGACTTTGTGCCTGCTTTAGAAGCTGGATAGGAACCAATCAGTTCACATAAGTGTATGAAGGGGTAGATGAGGCTGCAGGGGCTAGAGAGAATGCCTGTGTCAGCTATGGGTCATCTGCTACCGCCGGCCAGCTCTTTCCACACGAGAATATAGATTTCAGTGATGTCAGATGTGGCTTTTCATAGGAAACAATTATGAGAACCTTCAGATCTCCATGTATGGAGCTGTGCTTCTCAAATGTTATTGTATACATAAATTATATGGCACCTTCCTAAAATTCAGGTTCTGATTCATTACATCTGGGTATAACACATCTGAAAAGCCTGCATTTCTGATGAGCTCCTAAGTGAGGCCAGTTCTCCTGGTTTATGGACCACATTTTGAATAATAAGGGTAAAAAAGAAAGATTTTCAGTCTGAGAGTTGGAATGACTAGTTAAAAGTTACACTTCCTGTCTGTGCCTTTCTTACCAAACCGGAAAATTTCCCATGTAAATTACCAGTGAAGAACTGATTTGCATAGGTAAGTATCTTGGGAAAGCAAATTGAAACTTCATTTTAGAATGATATAAATTTCTGTTCCAAGTATTCTGATAAGAGTGGTAATAACTTCTGCTTGTCCATTGATGTTAAATATATGCAGTTTCTGTTGAGATCGGAGTGTTAGTTAATGCCAGTCTTTCATTGTTACATATGTAGAAAAAAAACCTACTCCCTACTTGGGTAAAACCCCTTTTGGGGAAAAGGGTAGTGTGAGGTGAGACTGTCTTACTATGTAACTCTCGCTGACCTGGAACTTGCCATGATTTTGTAGCAATCCTCTTGCCTCTGCCTCAAAATATGGGATGGACCACCATGCCCAGCTAGGAGATAACTTTTGGTGGTGCCCACCTTTAATCCTAGCACTCAGGAGAGGCAGATGGATCTCGGTGAGTTCAAGGCCAGCCTGGTCTACATAGTGAGTTCCAGGACAGCTGGGGCTACAGGGAGACCCTGTCTCAAAAAGACAAATATATATATACATATATATATATGTATGTATATATATATATACACATATATATATATATATATGAGTGTATTGCCTGCATGTATGTGACTGCACCCGTGTCGTTCAGTGCCGTGGAGGTCAGAAGAAGAAGAAGGCTTCGGATTCCTGTGGAACTGGAGTTAAGGACAGTTCATAGCCACCATGTGGGTGCTGGGAATCGAACCTAGGTCCTCTGCAAGAGCAGTCAGTGCTCTTAACTGCTGAGCCATCTCTCCAGCCCCAGGAGATAACTTTTGAGGAGATACTATGTTACCTCAGTTCATAATGGGATTGTTTACTTTCAAATACATAAGCTCAGGAGTGGAAGAAAGTAGAACCAGAAGTAGAGAAGAAAGGAGATTTTACAATCTAAGGTGCTATGTGGGTTTTTTTTTTTTTCCCTGTATGTTCCTTTTGGTTTTAGTAGCTTTCAGGTTCAGTTTAGGAGCTCAAGCCTCAAAAGACTTCTAAAGCAGGGACTGATGATTTCTTACTCACTGCTCTGCACTAGGACCTAGGATAGCCATTTTAGAGAATTTTATTATATGTTTCCTATATACAGGAGTATTACAATATCATGGAATTTAATAAACAAGTAGATTTAGCTACAACATGGGGTCCATAACTAAAATGGCAGAAATATTCTTATTACATAATTTATCTAATACAGGAAAAGCTTGGGCAGTTTTACTCAGGGGAGAGGAGAAAACAGACTAGAAAGGACTATGTTGTAGAGTTTCACTCTCTGTGTCATTGTTTTTTGTTTTGTTTTCTTGTTATAGTTTTGAAACATAGACATTTTTACATGTAATTATCACAGTAACTTGGGTATAATATTCCTCTGCTTTTCCAGATAAATTTATCACTTGTTAAAGACCTTTGTCAAGGTTATACATGGTAGTGCAGATAGTCAAATTAAGTTTGTCTGATCTGGAATTCCATATTATTTTTTGCTATGTCACTAATGCTTCTCAGTATAATGGCCTATCTTGTTGTAATAGCCAGTTGTTAGCATAGAGTCAGACAGAAATCATGCACTTTTGAATGGAAAACTTAAACAGGCCAGAAAACTTTTGGAAAGGGACAATATTTCATATTGCAGTAAGTATATTCAATAATAGGAGGTCTGTACATATACTAGAGAAGATAAACCTAAAGAATTTCTAGATTTACAGAAATGGAGAACATTCTGGTTCCAAAATTTTAGGCAAAAGGATCATAGATTAAAAGCAGTTCTGAACACGTGTTTGGCTATAGGTTAAGAATTTGAGATGGCTCAGTGGTTAAGAGCACTGGCTTCTCTTGGAGAGGACCTAGATTCGGTTCTCAGCATCCACATGGCGGTTAACAGCCATCTGTAACTCCAGTTCCAGGGAATCCAACACTCACTTCTGACTTCCATGAGCATTGCATGACATGGGTGCACTTACATACATGCAGCAACACACTCATACACATTAAAATAAAAATTAATAAATAAAATACTTTTAAAAAGAAAAGGAATTTAGTGCTGGTGAGATAGCACAGTCAGTAAAGTGCTCACTGCACAAGCATAAGGACCTGAGTACAATTCCTAACACTCACATTAAAAAAAAAAAAAAAAAAAAAGCCGGGGGGTGGTGTGGCCCCCTTTAAACCGGACCCCCGGGGGGGAAGGGGAGGGTGTTTTCTGTGGGGTCAAGGCTAGCCCGCTCTTCATAGGGGGTTCCCGGCCCGGGGGGGGGGGGGGGGGCTACAGGGAGACCCTATCTCAAAAAGACCAAAGAAAAAAAACCCAGTCTCACAAATTAAGGTTGATGGCTGCTGAGGAATGACACTCAAAATTGACCTTTGGTCTCCACACATGCATTTTCGTGTGTGCCCACAAACATATGCACCTGCATGTCGCATGTGCACATGCGCATACACACACACACACACCCCAGAGTAAGAGTTTGTAAATCTTACAAATAGAAGGATTAACATCCCAAGAATTTGAGATAATTGAAAATCAGGAAGAAACTGAAAATAAGTATTTCAAAGTATCAATGAAGTCTTCTGTTTCAGCCAAGGTACAGAAATAGGGAATGGATCCACCAGGATTCACCCTTGGGTGAAACAGTGAAATTATATTAAAAATGTGGAGTTTAAGCTACTGAGCCTCAGATAATGGATAATGGTTGCTGAGAGACAGAAACTTAAAGAAACAAGTCCTGGTGAAAAATGAGGACATCGCTTTCCAGAGTTAACAATATATTACCCAAATACACAGTTTTTAACAAAAAATGAAACTCACAGAGAAACATAAAAATGTGATCCATTTAAAGGCAAAGCCATAAAAGAGCTGGGTATGTTGGCACATATCTGTAATCCTTGCATTGAGAGGCTGGAGCAGGAAGACCTTAAGTTATAGGACAGCCTGTGCTACGTAGCAAGTACCAGACCAGACGAAGCTACCTCAAAATAAATGAATGAATGAATAAATAGATAAGCAAGTGAATTAATAAGTGAAAGAAAATCAACTATTTATGAGGGGGGTCCCATATTTTTATTATTACTTTAGATACCGTATGAAATAATAGGCTTCATTATGCTGTTTTCGTATGCGTCTACCATTGTATTTTGTTTATCTTTACTCCGTGTTACCTTTTCTTGTCCACCCCCCCATAATGCTGGCTTCCTTCCTCACCCTCCATAGTTCTTCATTTCATGCCATGTATGTGTATGTGTACACAAGAGTGTACATTGTAGATATTTAAATCTAGAAAGCATATGTAAAAGAAAACATGCCGTATCTGCCTCTTCTCCCCTCACTCCCCTCTCTGGCCCTCATCCCTTAGGACTCTTCCTCCTTCCACATTGCTTCCCTTCATATAAAACTTTCATGTTCTATATGTACAGATGCTTAAAAATCTTGATTCTGCATATGAGAGAAAATATGCAACATTTGTCTTTCTGAGTCTGGATTATTTTGCTTCACATTATGCCCAGTTTCATCCATTTCCCTGCAAATAACATAATTTCATTCTTGTTATGGCTGAATAAAATCCCATCGTGTATATCCATTATGTATATATAACACAATGTAGTTATCTATTCTTTTATTGGTGGACATCTAGACTGACTCCACATGGATATGCAAGTATCTCTGTTGTATGCTGACTTAGATTATTAGGGTATACATCAAGGAGAGGCATACCTGGATCATATGATAGTTCTAGTTTTTGTGTTTTGAGGAATTTCTTGACTGGTTTGTATAGTGACTACACTAGTTCATATTCCTACCAGCAATGTGCAAGTCTATAAGAGTCCCTGTCCGCCCTCCTGTCCCTGCATCTTCACCAGGGTTTGTTTGTGTTGTTTACTTGATAATTGCCATTATGATTAGGGTAAGATGGAATCTCTGTGTGCTTTGTAAATTTTGCTTGGTTTGGGTATACTTGGTAGGTTGCCATCTAGCTCTTGATTCTTACACTGTGGCTTTTTTTTTTAACCAGTGAGATGTGTTTCCTTTACTGTAAAGTCACTTTATTATAATGAACTCACAAAAATTTTCACCCAGAGAGTTGGTCTTCTCTAAGGGAGTGACACTACATGGACAGAACAGGCTTCAGTGGATGAAACCACACTGAGGGACATCTGGGTACATAAACTTGACTGGATAGGCCTTAGCATATATGACAGAATGTGTGAAATCTGGTGGACAGACTGGGTGGGATACAGATATGGAGGGGGTCTAAATATGATTAAGATGTATTGTATGAAATGCACAAAAATTCAGTAAAAGATATATATTGAAAAAAATTATCATCCAGCTAGATTAACATTCCTTCACAAACATTTGTTTCTTTGAGACCACAGATAGTTCCATCTTGT